TCAAAGGAAAATACAAATTATTGTTTACAAATTATTGTCACAAATTATTGTTTACAAATTATTGTCACAAATTATTGTTTACACTACACCAATGAACGCAGTGAACAATTGCATATTTTAATCCCACAGTGTATATATTCATAGAGAATCATAGAAACATCGGAACGCGAAACGATGATATTTAGTTTGTGCGCGCGCATCATTTTGACAGTGCATTTTGTTTGTGTCGATCTAAAGAAAGTTGTTGTAGAAACTCCTTGAACGAGGCGCCGGACACTTTGTCACGCCTCTACGAAGAATTTTCGAAAGACACGCCCCCTTCACAGTTACTACTTACTCGTAATATGTCATGGTACGATGAGATGGTAACACGTGTTCAAAGCAATCCCACGCGTCACAACAAATACAGACTTGATAACGACAACACGTTATACTATTACAAACCAAATCACCTTAAAGAATGCATAGGTGATAACAATGCATGGAAAAAGGTTTTACGCGAAACGGAAATTATTCCTATTATTAACAAATATCACGATACCCCTCAATCCGCGCACCCTGGAATTGGTAAAACGTACTTATTAATTATCAGACATTATTATTGGCCTGGTATGTGTGAGGACATAAAAAGATACATTAACGAGTGCGAAATTTGTTTAAAATGCAAATCAAAAAATTATCCACAACAGGGTTTAATGTATCCTCGTAAATTTTCTGAACCTTGGGATGTTGTTTCGTTAGACATTGTAGGCCCATTACCTCGGTCAAAAACAGGGAAATCATATATTTTAGTATGCGAAAACATATACACGCGTTACTTAGAATGTTTTCCACTATCGAAAGCCGATGGCCCTAAAATTGTAAAATCCTTAAATACATTAATAAATAAATGGGGAACACCGAAAACGTTTATTACGGATAACGGAACGGAGTTCGTAAACCGTACGATCTCGAAATTTTTATTAGAAATCGGATCTGTCCAACGAACTACACCCGTATATCATCCGCAATCAAACCCAGTTGAACGCGTTAACCGTAACCTAAAAACAATGATTGCAAGCCTCCTTGGTGACAATCATCGCGAATGGGACGTGTTTTTAGAAGAAATTCAATTCGCATATAACACTACGGTACACACTTCATTAGGAGTCTCCCCCGCTTATTTGAACTTTGCTCGTGAGCCAAGACGCGTTGGTGAACAAGTAAATGACACAAAAACAAATTCAATAATTGACACGAATACCCCCGACTGGTTAGAACGCGTAAAACGTGTAAACGTACTTCGTGAAAAAGTTGAAAAATTGATGGCAAAAGCTGGCAAGAAGCAGAGCAAAATTTATAATAAAACAAAACATGAAAATATAAATTTTGAGCTCGGAGATTACGTGTTCTATCCGAACAATACTTTGTCCAATGCAGCTCGCGCTTTCAGCTCTAAACTGGCACCGCGTTATAAAGGACCAGCAGTAATAATCGAAAAATTATCTCCCATGGTAGTCATTATCGGCGATCAAAATGGAAAAAAAATCGGCAAATATCATATCAACGACTTAAAAATTACAAGGAAAAATCTTAGATCGCGTACTAGGTTGTAAATTCTGTTTCAGATCTCACGAAACGATGGAAGTCAACAACGCGTTCACACTCCCAGCCTCAGCAGAGATTAAGATTCTCAGCTTCCAACCTGCGGCAGCTGACCTTGAAAATAATACCTCGAGACCAACTCCAACCGAAGAAGCATCTGGGTTGCTCGTACTCCGCAAAAGCGAGCTAGAAGCAATTCTATCTTCACAAGACGCGACAAAATTGCAACTCATAGAAGCTCTCCAACGCGTAGATGAGCTACAAAATAGATCCGACGAAAAAGCATTAAACCAAACATCTCGTCCCAGCGGAAGTAGCAACTCCAACGATGAACTTATGCATGCCTTCCTCGAACTGACCAAGGACCACAGACAATTGACGGAGAAGCTAAACGCCACTCTTACCGAATTGCAGTCTTCTCAAAAACAAAACGAGACATTGCAAGCCGAATTAACCGCGTTCAATTACGATTGGGACGACTTACTCGATAAATATAAGGAAATCAAACCACAAGCGATGTTAGCGAACAAATATAAAAAATACTTCGCCCAAAAAATGAGTGAAGTATACCACGCTCAGTCTCAACTTCGCAAACCAGCACTAAGGCCAAAGGTCCCACCCGGTTGTCTTAATTGCGGCAATCTTGGACACAGTCACCTTTCCTGCACTCAACAATATAATGGAAAATTCTGCCAAGTATGTACATGCACAGACTTCCCAACGCGTGATTGTCCATGGCCTCATTTCCACAACGCCATGCCTAAACTGCCTGAACACCTCAAGTGTAAACGATGCTCGTCCCCCCGGAACCAACCGGATCCCCACTGTTCCTTATGCCGTCAACAGCTAGTGACGAGAGAAAGAGCAACGCGTAAACAAATTGCTGAAGAGATCGAAGCTGAACAAAATCGAGTCCGCCCAACAGAATCTCTCGTACAGCAGTCCACATCAACTGAGAAACTTACCATGGCGACCCCTGCTATAAAAAAAACTCCCTGTCCTGAGACTTCAGACAGCTCATCGGAAAACACTGACAAAATCAGCCCTACTTTAACCACTACGCCTCCTTTAGATGAAGAACCAGATGTTATCAAACCAAAAATTGAAAAGAAGAATAAGAAAAATTGCAAGGATCAGCTGCCAAAATCTACGAAGGAGGATGACAACTCACCACCAGTCTTGTAACTACCTTCCACTCGTCAACAGCGTAATTCTTCAATTAACGCCTAATTTTCGTTATTCTTCTCAATTAAACTTTATTTTTTTTTACATTTTTTTTTGTTTTTGTCTAAATTTTAGTTTTGAAATTCAAACAAAATTTCTATTTTGTTCCTTTCACTATCTCACTCCTTCATAAGATAAGTTAAATCGTATAATACATTCCATTATTCTCGTACTTATCAAATCTAACCCGCGTTAAGTTAAAAAAAAAAGGTTATTAATAATACTAAATAAACAAATTTATTTCTGAAAGAGTGTGAGTGGAAAAATTTTGTATTCTTTTGGTATGCCTGCATTTATCATTTAAAGCGATTGCAAGCTATCACCGTAACTACAAAGTGAATCATTAAATATTCAAGTTCAATTCTGTTATTTTACTAATTGGTTTTATTTTGTTTCCTTTTCAATATATCATCTAACTATATTATTTACATTAAATACTCGACTAGTTAATCGAGCAGATGCTGGCTATATTACCGCGTACAGTAATTGACCAGACCTAAATGAATGACGGTAACGACAATTCAGAAGGGGGAATTGTGACAACCCGATTTAAAATATACGATCACAAATTTCAAATCAGACTTTAAAAATTTCTAACAACTGGTCCAATATAACTTGATATGCAAGCATTTTGGGAGTCAGTGAATTTAAAAGTTTCGAAAAGTTTGTTGGTAAATATTTATGCAGCAGGAAATGCAGATTTTTGGTAACCTAAATGCCTAAATTAAAATGTGTTTATCGAGACGACATCTAGGAACATTTCTAGAGAATTAGGCATAATTTCTGGATGAAGTTCAATTCAACAATTGCAGAATACTTTTCTCTTGGACGCAGGTCTGCTAGGACATAATACAGTATTGTATTTCCGTTGTGCTTTGGCACAATAATAATCCTGCTGCTTCGATAGATGTAGTAGGCGATGACAACTGCCCCGAAAGGGGATGTGTAGAAAAATTTGCTTCCTGGCTATCGAAGTAACGAAGCTAGCAAAGGCGCGCTGCCTTGCAGGGAGACGTTAGGGTGTGAGGATGATACCGTAGTGTGTCCGACGACGAGTTGACAATGTCCTCGTCAAAGTCGGAAAGCCTCTCATACTTAGGCCTGGGGAGGTATGAGAGTTATCAAACGCTTCAAAAGTTCTTTTTGGAGTGTCAACCTCACAACATACATGTGACAGCAATGCAGATGTATTTTGTTACGTATGCGGACAATTTGATATCCCGAAAAATCGCAAATTAATTAATGAAAACATTAAACAAATTTACAAAGATTGTTTTGATTTTGAGATAGTCAATCAGAATGAAAAATGGGTTCCACATACAATCTGCAGTTCCTGCTACACAATGTTAACTCGTTGGAATGATATGAAAGAGAATAAACACCTGAATTTTTAAAAACCAACATTGTGGAAAAAACCATTGAATCGAGGAGATTGCTACTTTTGCATGACCAATGTAAAGGGCTATAATAAAAATAATAAAAAGAATATAATTTACGCATGTATAAAGAAGGCTTTACGCAAGAAGAGCTTAGCAACCTCATCAGAGATTTGAAATTACCCAAAGATGGAGCAGAATATCTAGCTTCAGTTTTAAAAAAGAAAAATTTGTTATGTAAAGGCACCACAGCTTACTTTTATCGTGACAGAGAAAAGCAATTTCGGAAATATTCTACAAAAGACGATGAGCTTTCATTAGTATATTGTTCTGACATTGAAGGACTAATAAATGAATTGAAACCAAACGTATATGAAGATCAACATTGGAGGTTATTCATTGACTCTTCTAAAAGAAGTCTATAGGCAGTGCTAATTCATAACACTAATGTTTTTGCTTCAATTCCCGTAGCCCATTCTACTGAACTTAAAGAAGATTATGAAACTGTCAAATTAGTTTTGGAGAAAATTAAATATAAAGAACACAATTGGCAAATTTGTGGAGATTTTAAAATTATAAGTATCATGTTGGGCCAACATGTTGTTGGGCCCTATATACCAAGTAAAGTGAAAACCCAACAAATTTTTTTAATTTGTCCGACATATTGAATCCGCCATTTTGAATTTTTAAAAACTGACTGCAGATTCGTAATCAGCGATCTTAAAAACCCCCGAGAAACAAGTTTGAGACAAATCTAATCAATTTTTAAAAAATTTTGTATTTTACATAAATTACATAAAATCTGACATGTTTTTTGAGGTTAGAAAAAAATCCTGACGTGATGGAGCAAATCTGATTTCGTATTCGTGTTCAGCGCATCAAAATACATAGTAGTATGGTACTGTGGACTTTCGCGCAGGGTACTTTTCTTTTTTTGTGGGGCTGTGTTATTAATATTTTACTTACTTATCACATTATTTACTGAATGATAAATTTCAATTTAACCCGGTGAGCGCAAGATTGGGTTGAGAACAGACAAAGTTACGCTCTGTGTTCCAATTTTTAATCTTACGCTCGCCGGCTTGAATAAATCAATTAAAACAATACTACTAAGAAAATAAATGTAAAGTATTTACTTTATATACTGTTAACAAGTCTTTTCGATTCTCCTTATTTTTTATATGAAACTGCTTTGGTAAATTAAGTAATACATGAACCGTTTGTCCATTAACGTCAATTCTAGATGTTGATGGTAGAAATGTTAAAAGTTTTGGAAGAGCATCCAACCAATTTCTTCTTAAATTTGTTATTGGGATATTGTACGAGTCTGAAAATTCCCACAGGAGCTGAAAAGAAAAAATTAAATTTTTAATTATACATTTTCTGCATAATATTAATTAATAGTTTGTTTAATTGACAGTTAAATAAAAAGTATATGAAATATAAAATTTTACATTAAAAATTCTGTTGAATGAAAACATAATTTTGTTAAATAAAAATTGTGCATCGTAAATTGAGATCAGCAAATTTTTAACTAAAATTCTTCTCTAAATAAATTATTTTTATTAATTTTTGATAAACTTCTTATACAATTTAATTATTCAAAGAAAAAAATAAATTCACCTAAAATTTAAAATTTAAATTTGAAAACTTTTAAAATTTAATAATTTCTAAAAATTGCAAACTCAACTCTTATAATATTCAATTAATTATTTTTTGAATTTCAAGTAAAATTATGCATTGAATAATCAATTAATTAAAAATAATAATTTTATTATAGTTCATTAAGAACTAAATTATTTTAAATAAATTTAATTTAATATTTAATTGAATTCTCGGATCGAAGAAGAGCAAATAATTATTTCAATTACATTGCACATTGCACTGAAAAAAATTTCTGGTTAAGATATGTTTCACACTATATTCTGGTTATTCCAATCAGAATTTTTTTTCACTATGGTTATATGGCCTTCTTTGATCCGGCAGCTCAATTATTGATAAAAATAAAAAATTTAATTTTTTGTAATAAAATTTATTGTTTTCAAATTGTATAAATCAAAATTAAAAGAATGTCCCTGAATATCCTGACCAGTTTTAATTTGTCTAAATTCTCTAATTTTGTTGACTAGCCCTAAAAAAAGTATAGTTAAAGAAACAAGAATTCTGCTTATTTCAACCAGAATGAAAAATTAAATTTATTCACACTAATTTTTTTGTATTAAAAATATTTGAAATTCAGGTTAAATTTCTGGCAAATTCAATCAGGCTAAAAATACCAAAAAACTTTTTAGTAAAAAAATTGTTTCGTTGTTTTAAGTAAATAGTATATTCTCATTGATTTCATCAGAAATTGTGGTTCAAAGAGACCACAATATAAACGCTTTGTGTAGTAATCAAAATTATTTAACTAAAATTCTCTAGTCTTATTCACTACAAATATTTAGTTAGATAATTAAGAATTTTTTTAGTACATGACATCCGCGTTAATTGATGTCACAGAATATTTTTTTATTTGTGATTTTAATAAACTTGCCATTCCTGGTACTTTAAATGCTGAATATTCTTCAAGCATCTGTCCTGCAGTCAACTTTTTTTTGTCTTTAGAGCGACATTCTCGTGTTTGTTGCAATGTCCTCTTAAGAATATCCTTGCTTCGTTCTTTTCCTTTTTTGACTTCTCTTTCCATTAAGTCCAATTGCTCAGTTTTCCAATCGGAGTCGGAAGACTGATTTTGTGAATCTTTCTTTTTCTTCGATTTTTGCCTTTTTATACAGTCTTTTAGTGCTTTCTCTAATCCCACCTAGAAACAATGAATGTCACTAAAACCATATCTAAATTTATATATTGGTGTATAATAGTTTTGAAGCAAGTTTTGAAGTAACGTTATATGAATAAGAAAATATTACTCACATATTCCGACCCGAATACACCTTTTAAGGAAGGGATTTTGTTAACTAAAGCAACTGCAACTTCTATAACTTGATCCTTATTAGTTTTTTCATGCTAAATCATATTGGATGCGACAGTCCTGATAATTTCAGATTGTTCTTTATAATTGATGAGACCCGAATTTATTGATTTCATTAAATTTGGACGAAATACATCGGGAATGAAAAACTCCAGAGTGACCTGCAAGAAACAAATTTTTTTAAATTAGGAAAAAATTTCAAAAAATAAGTAAGTTAAATAAGAATAAACTGTGGGGAAATATTTTCAAATTTAGAAACAATCTAAAGAGGAATTACTTCACATAAAAAATTATAAATGTATACTATAAAAAAGTAGAATAGGAAATAGTTATGTCATAATATTATTATCTAGATTAGGAGGGAGTAATATTATAAATTTTGCAATTAAGAATATTGATGAATTACATATTAATTTACCTGCTGTTCACATTGAATACAATTGTGACGCTGACGGGAAATAAAATTTACTTGTGTTTTTAATGTATGCGATGCCGAAGGAAGGATATTTGATTCTTGCACTACCTGTGGAAAAAAGTTGTTCTCATACGATTCATTACTCTCACTAGATCTTTTAGAAATATTCTCCTTTGAAGAACCAGCACTTTCTGTTTCATTTAGGCTTTGATCACTGATTATTGGCAATGCCTTTGTATCTGTAATATAGAAAATAGGGATGTTTTAACTAAATATCTTTTAAACAGTTAGTTATTTATAATTCATTCGAAAAGAAATATCAATTAGAGAAAATATTTCACCATTGATGTCTAAAAATAAAAAAAGTAAACAAGTTATTATATTTAATAAATGTGAAATATTTTGATTTTCAGATTAATCTTAAATTATTATTAATTTTAAACTAAGCTCTATTAATCCCAATGTAAAATCCATTACATATTTTAATAGAATTTTTGTAATAATTTGTAACTTTTACAAAATTGAATTTTTTGTGTGTGCTTAAGTAAACATCTTTTATAAAAACATTATTTTTAATAATTTTTGAAAAAGTTCGAATTTAAAATTCATTTATTTACAATTCAATTTTACGAAAATTTCAATTATTTGTAAATTCTTCAATTAAATATATGTATATTAGAAAATAAAAACTTCAAATAGTTTAAAAAAAAAATCCGCAATTGAATTTTCTCAAAAAAATTAATTCCCCATAATTGTCAGTTTAAAATATAAAAAATTCAAATTTTCAAAGAATTTATCTGAAACCTTTTTAAAATTCTATTATTTCTAAAAATTTACGTTCTAATACTTTTAAAATTCAATTATAATCTGAAATTTTAACTGGAATCCATTTTTAAATCAATTTTTACGAAAAAATTCTACTAGAATTTAAATTTAAATGCAAAAATCAATAAATTATTGAATAATTGCATGTTTATTAAAATTGAATTGTCATACAGAATTTTACCTATAAATTTTTAAATAACTGAATTCTTTTGACGAATTTTAATAAAATTTTTAAGAACTTTTTCGAGGAATTCGATAAAAATTGTGTTAAAAATAATTGAAATTCTGCAATGAGTTTTATTAAATACGAAAATAATTGAATTATTGCTAAGAAATTTATAGAAAAAATTTGTAAATAATGAAATTCCCGTGAAATTTTTATTATTCTTTGAAAATAATTAAAAGTTTGTGTAGAATTTGATTAAATTTTTTGTTAAATAATTGAATTCTTTTTGAAAATTTTATGAAAACTGTAGATATTTTTTACGAAAAATTTCATTACTTTTGAAAATAATTGAATTTCTACAATTCAAGCAAAGTTACGGACTTTTACGGGTTTTACGGACCTAGTTCGAGCTCTGAGTTCTGTGATCTTAACAAGAGATCCAAAATCATGTGCGATATGTATTTTATCTGTTTTGAGATTCATTCTAATAAGTAAAATTATAATTATACCTAATTTTTTATGATGGACTGGCAAACATCCACAATAAAGGCAATTGTAGCTAACGTCAGGAAGCCATTCATATTCTACCCAGTAAAAAAAGAAGTATTGAGTGGAGCGTTTAGGAATTGAGTGAAGCTCTGAGCGTCTGAGCCAATACGGATTCGAGTAAAAACCGTATTCGGACGTCTGACTCAATCTTTTTTTCATCCGCCGAATACGGTCTTATTTTAGCATTAAAATTAAAATCACAAGACCAGAGTACACATTATAAATTGAAAGCACAATTGTCCTGGAATGTAAAAATGCCGATTTCGATAAGAATCAGTGAATATTTGTTAAAAATTGGTAAAAGCAAAGTTTGATAAGCGCGACTGAATTTACCATGTGAATAAATGAAGTGGTAAGTTTAAATGGACGAAATGGACTGAAAGAAATCTACTGTTACCGACAGAAAGTTCCTAGAGAATTGTGGTAAATTCAACAAAACAATGAAATTTCATTGTTAAACAATTGTTAAACGAAAAGAAATCTACTGTTACCGACAGAAAGTTCCTAGAGAATTCTCTAGGAACTTTCTGTCGGTAACAGTAGATTTCTTTTCGTCCATTTAAACTTACCAATTTATTTATTCACATGGTAAATTCAGTCGCGCTTGTCAAACTTTGCTTTTACCAATTTTTAACAAATATTCACAGTTTCTTATCGAAATTGGCATTTTTACATTCCAGGACAATTGTGCTTTCAATTTATAATGTGTACTCTGGTCATGTGATTTTAATTTTAATGCTAAAATAAGACAGTATTCGGCGGATGAAAAAAAGATTGAGTCAAACGTCCCAATACGGTTTTTACTGGAATCCGTATTGGCTCAGAGCTTCACTCAATTCCTAAACGCTCCACTCAATACTTCTTTTTTTACTGGGTAAACAATCTTCATGTGCTACGCAAGCACCTCTTAAGTTGCCTCTAAAATCTGTCCCAGAAACACTCATTTTTATAAAATAATCCAAAATGATTTCAAATGTAGACGCGTATCTGGAAAATACCAAACAAAAATTACATGTTTATAAATGAAGTAAAAACAGACTTTGATATTAGATTAAACAAATTTTTTTCATAAATAGCATAATCTTATTTCCTGTAACTTTACTAACCTAAATTTAAAAAACAAAATTAATATGATAAAACACGTTAATGTAAATCGCCAAAATTTTGTTTGACAATCAAATAAATTTCATCTTCCAAAACATGGCTGTGATAGACGTTAGGTGCAATCAGGTCTCTGAATGTGTATTTAACAAAATTATTGTTTTCAGTATTTATTTTATAGGCCAATAGATGAACGTTGTGCTCTACTGTTTGAATAGAGTGGCAAATAAAAATAGGTGAAGCATCTTCTATGACAATACTGCATAATTCAGCGAATACTGGTAATGACTCTTCTAAATTATATCCTACTGAAATGTAACATTTACTGGCAACGTATTTTGTCCCATTGTATATGATCCAAGGAACTAATAAAAGAGTAGGATTATTAGGATATAATGCCGAAAGTTTAATGTCTCGGTTAATTTCAATCTTCAAGGTCCAGTTATTGTATCTTTAATTAAATTGTGCATCATTTGATGAGTTTGATTCACCTGATGTCAATTTGCTAATGTCAAAGCAAGATTTTTGGCATTATGGACACATTTTGCCTTGTTTTTAAATACCGAATATTTTGCTTCTACTCTCATGCACCAGAATTGTACCAATGAGCCAAATATTTTAAAATGTCGAGGACAATGAACCATTGAATGTTGTTTCGGAGTTAATTTCTTCGATTCCAAATGCTCGTCTTCGTGTTCAGAATCACTTTCTACATCAAGATTTTTAATTACATGACCATTATCAATGCCATTGTCAATATCCATTGCTTCCTTTTTCACATTCTCATTGACATTTGGGGCGTATAACATTTTAAAATCTGTCAGATACTCTGCAACACATATTGCAAGGTAATCTGTCATTCCTGCACTTATAGAATGACCCATTACAATAGAGGTTATTTCCAATAATTTTGAGTAATTACTAGAGCACTCGTAATCATCATCTACTATATCTCTCAAAATGAGAGGTAAAATTACTGCCAAAAGCAATGTTTGCGATGCAGATTGATGAAAATTCTTTATAAGGTGCTGTTTTTTAATTAAAGATGGTTTGAATAATAACTCAGTGTATCCATAATCGAAATCTTGAATTCTACCGTTAAGATCTTCAGGTGTAATTCTCCCATCTGCAAAGCATATCTTTTTTAAATAACATTGAATATTTTTTTGAATTGCCCCTTCTAGAAAATTGTGCATAGTATTAGGTGGAATATTGACAACAGGACTGAAGTGCTCTACCTGGTTTAGAATGGTATCTCGATTTATACCGTATAATTTTGAAAGTCGTATCCTTTCCTCGCCAACAGCGTTTTCAATTTCATTTACTTGACGCAAATAATTTTCTGGAGTCCGAAGCAAATTTGTGTCTTCTGTTACAAGAGTTCGAACTTGCTGTAAACTCTGGGTTCACAGACCATGCAAGGATGTGCTGCAGTAAAACCCTCCTTAAATCCACACAGTTTGTGCTGACCAAGATTGTCTCCACAGACAACAAACAAATTTCCACGTATAATTTCCCCATTTTCCAACTCTACTCCGTTTGCTAAAGATTGAATATTTTGTACAATAGGAGCAAGAACTGCATCCATACCGTACCTTTTAATATCCTCACTCTTCACAATTCCAGCTAAATTCATAAATTTCAAATTTGAACGATACATTGGGTGAATATTTGCTATCGTCCAATATATCATGCCCAAATTGTATTTAGGAGTAGCTTTGGAGCCAATTGGATTGCACATTTGTGCTTCATCAAATCGTCTTCATCAGATGACATAACATTTTCTTGAGGAATATGCTGTTGAAGTACATCCCCAAACTGACCATGTTGAAGCCATTGTTTAAGCACATCTACAATTGGAACAACCACCATCTCATCTCGGTGCAACTTTGTAGGGCGGCCGTTGCCACAAGTTCCAGTGCCATGTTTAATGAACCTTCTACCCAATTCATGCCTTTCAGGTTTTATCATAGAAAACGCACGTTCGAAATATTTGTCCTGCTTATATCTGGTATCCAAATTTTGTGTACAATTAATTGAATTTATCAATCCGTCAATATCAACCAGTTCTCGTAATTCTATTCTATTAGTCTCTAGAATTTCTTTCACGTGATATTAAGAAGCTCTTACATACGTAGAAACTACTTCTCTTAAATTCAATAGGATGCTGTCAATATTTGGCTGTCTTATATTAGAGGAAGCTCTCAACTTTAAAATAAATGTACCTATGGCTCTTTTTAAAATATTGTCCTCAAAATCGCCATCTACTTCTTCCACTTCCACTTCGGAATTTTCATCAGAGCAGACTCAGTCATTTAATAAGTAGTGTATAATCAAATTTATTAAATGACTCAGTCATTTAATAAGTAGTGTATAATCAAATTTAAGGAAGCCAGCCAATATTAAAACCTTAAAAACGAGGAAAATTCATGTGAATTTAAAAATAACTTCAAGAACTCATGAATTTGTTTTAACGTTTTTCTCAATTCTTTTATTTTTAAAAATTTTATTTTTCATAGAGATGCACGACGAGACTCTGTCCTTTCATAAAAGATAAGAAATGAAAAACTAATTTTTCAATATTGAAATTCAGGGTGGTCACAAGTTTCAGTTTATCAATTTCCCTAACAATTTACTGGCATTAAGATTACTTTCCTTCACAAAATTGATTTTACAGGAAAATATGAATGTTTACGGAAAATAAATAAAATTTATGGATTTTATTAATTTCTGAACATTACAATTATAACCCTTCCTGAATTTAATTATTTTCTACAAGTTTCAACTAAACTTCATCTTTAAAATACAAAAACTCAATTTTTAAAAAAATTGTAACTTTCCATATTTTTTTAAGTTATTAAAATACAATATTTTCAAAAAACTATAAAAAGAAATTCTTACAATATATTTTAAAATAGTTTTTGAAAGATAATAGTTTTTCAATTGTTAAAAATTTCCAAAGAATTAAAATTTGATAAATTCTTTTAAAAATAATTAAAATTTTGAAAAATATAAATAAAAAGTATCAAATTTTTGAAGAATATTAATTATAACAGGACCATGATTTCTCAAAAATTTTAATGTGTCCTAAAAGTGTATTTTTATAAATTTTTATTCACATTGCTCAAAGATAGTTGAATTTAAAAAAATTATGATAGAACAATTTTAATAATTAGTTTTTAAAAATATTTTAGTGTAATTTTTTAAAAGTAATTAAATTTCTTAAAAGAATTTTCGTATAATTTTAAAAAATTAATTAATTTTTGATGAATTTTAAAATAAAAACTTTAAACATGATTGTTTTCTCCAAAATGTTAAAAATTATTATAAAATATTTTTGTATGTATTTGAATTTTTGGAAATATGTAATTGAAAATACTGAAAATATTAAATTTTAAAAGATTAGAAATCAATTTACATTTTTAAATTTACTTCTAGATTTTTTATTAAATTTTTTGATGATTCAATTATTTTCAAAATTAGCAAATAAAATTCTTCAAAAGTTGATTTTTAAAAATTATAACAAAATACTTAAAATAAATTAATTATTTTCAATTCAATTTTCCAAATTTGCAACTATTCAAAAAGTATTGTTGTTTTGTTATTTTTCGCATTATAAAAATCAAAATAAGTTGCACTCTTTACTAAAAATTGTTGTATTTGGTTGCAATGTTTGCAAGGAAAGTCGAAAAAGTCGCAATTTTTAAAAATAAGTCGAAAAAAGTCTCAATTTTCTTAATTTCCCTGACAAAAAATTTTTTTTATGAATTTTTCCTAACTTTACTGACAAACATTTTGTTTCCTTGATATCAGTAACAAATGTTTTGCTTCTCTGACATTTTCCTGACTTTACATGACAAAAGTTTTGTTTTCCTGACATTTCCGACTTTACTGACATGTACAAAATTTGAAACAGATTGTGTGTAAAAATGAATTTCTGTTCATTGGCATACAAGATACGACTTTCTGATTACTACGATTACCTTAGATTTTATAAAATCGTTTCGCTATATTCTTACAAAAACCATACACATTTTATTAAATTGCTAGTAAATATACTTTTAAAAATGTAGACAAATTTAAAGCGCTTTTAACGATGAAATTTAAAAAAGAATTGCCTATAATTTCTATACAAAACAATGTCCATTTGATAATAATTTATTTGTATAGTTGAAGACTTACATGCACTGTTTATTTTGTAAACACTCTTTTTTGATGCGTCAATAGATTAGAGCTACAAACTAACTGTAAATTTGTGTAGTTGCAAATAATAAAATTTTTTTCTTTATTATTTAAAATAATATTTACGCTACTGTAACAGGAAGGATAAAAAATATTTAACTATTGTAATAAAATTACCTTATTTTTCCTTGGAGACAAAAGAAACCTTGTGATAATTTTGCGATGAATTTCCTTTGTAGTAGATTCCCAGCTAGATGAACGAGAAAATGATTTTTACAATTCTACGTAGAATATAAACTATTTGTCAGACAATTACGCTTTTTTAAGACTACTTCAAATTAGCATGTACAGGAAAATCTGTAAAATGTATAGAAAATAAATTGTAATTCACTATAAAGATAGTTTATTTGTAGGTTAGAAATAATAAAGGCGATTGTTCACCGCCCCGTTTTTCTGTGTATATTCAGAAGTGATAAGAGTTTTTATTGGCTATGCTCATAGGGAACTTCTAAAACTTGAAACTTTTTGTAAATTCTCTATGAGCATAGCCAATAAAATTTCTGGACGTTTCTGAATGTACAGGTGAGGAATTGTTGATAAAGTAGATTACTGCAGGTTGTTTCCGAGATGCATATTTCTTTCATCAGTGCAACATTTTTAGGTTATGATGTTGGATGTAGATTCAACAAGAAAGATTAAAAAATATGTATATGAATTCCAATATATACTCATCTCACAAATTAATATATTGATTATGTAAGAATTTGTGACTAATAAGTAACAATTTTCACCTGAGAATTAGATTATTCGTATCACAATAACACACTATACACTCCACGCATTACCAGCGCTGAATTTGGTTTTAATCTTTTGATATTCCAGTATTCTCCATTTCTCAAATAGTTTTTACGCTGAGATACCAATAACCACCACCAGATGAGCGCCACTATCGTTCCCTCTTCAGAAAAATAGCGCGTTTATATAAATTGTTTTTATAAAAAGAAAGGTGAAGAATTCAGTAAATAGAAATTTTATCTAAGAAATTAATTTTAAGTTTAATACGAATATTTTCTAATCGGTGTTAGTTATACTAAATTCGTTTAAAGTTAATATTCAGTAAAAATAGTTTTAAAAATCCCCACAGAGCAAATGTTTGTTTATTTTTATAATTCTAATTTTTGATTTATTTGTTTAAATGAATTTATTTCGAAAACTATTTTTATGTTTTAAAAAATTAAAATCAGTAAATTTTTTCTATAAAAAATTTTTTTTCTCTTATCTTTGCTTTCTAAACAGTTGGAATATTGTTTTAACCAAATATTAAACTTAAAGCAATTTAATGAAATTATTAGTAATTAGAAAAAAATAAACACTGTCAATTTGACAGTTTTCTATTTTTTTATTCAATTTTTTGTATTCAAATATATAATTAAACCATTTTAAATTAGCGCGGATTTTTTGTATAAGAATTTTGCAATGACGCATGCGTAGTTGCTTCTGGCGATGGTCGTTGGCCTATCCGATTTTAGGTTGTCAGCAATCTTTTTTTTGCGTAAAAAGAATAAAATTAAAATAAGTTGATAAGGATATTGACAAAAAATAAAAAAATCGGGCAAGTGCGAGTTGCACTCGCATTAAGATCGAGGGTTCCGTACACCAAAATAAAACTCATTTTTTATAAAAAAAAATATATATAAGAAACATAATTGATTAATATTAACATATATAAACCTATTGAGCTGAAATTCGGTACACATATGTATTTTTATTACATATAGATTAAAAAAAAACTATAACTATAATCCACATTAATATTAACATATATAAACATATTGAGCTGAAATTCGGTACACATATTATTTTTATTACATATAAATTAAAATTCCTAAAAGTTCAAAAGGGGGAGAGAAAAGTGTCATTTTTTGCAATTTTTTCGTAAAAATTAAATTTTTTTCCCTCCTAGTTCGCAAATATGTCCGTCAATCGAGTTCGCTATATTTTTCCTGTAGTCTGCATTTGAAACTGAAGATCTCTACCGAATTTCAGCTCACTAGGTTGAGATTTGTAAAAGTTAACCGCAGGAACAGGGTCATTTTTTGTAATTTTATCAAAAAAATTGAATTTCTTTCCCTCCTAGTTCGCAAATATGTCCGTCAATCGGGTTCGCTATATTTTTCCTGTAATCTACACTTGAAACTGAAGATCCCTACCGAATTTCAACTCACCAGGTTGAGATTTGTAAAAGTTAAGGGGGGGGGGGACAGCCCATTTTGCGTAGCTGGGACGGACACACGAGTGATTTCATAAGGGTTCCGTCAGTACACCTATGGTGTACGGAACCCTAAAAAGAAGAAAATTTAACACTATATAAATTTGTTAGCAGAATTTCTGACACTTAATATGAGTGCCGTCAGTCAATTGCATTAATTAAATTTGCAGAATTTAACACTAATCCTTAAAACTGTTACGAAATTAATACCACATGTGGAATTCTATTTTATTAAAGACCAAGCCAGTGCTAAAATGATACCGTTTAGCATTATTTTCAGTGGGTACTATTTTAATACCAAAAAGTAGTACTAATTTAGAACTTTATTTTCACAGTAAATTTTTTAGACGAAAAATGACCAAATTCTCAGTTTCCTGGAACTTTCTGACAGAATACACATATAGGGGACATTAGGTGCAGTTGTTACAATTTTGATAAAATCAGTTACAGTGATTAGAGTTTAACCCGTTGACTGTCGCTGACGCATATATGCGCAAAACAAAACTGGCCAAAAGTGGTTCATGACGCATATATGCGCAAGTTAAAAAAGGTGATTAAAAACTTCTTAAATGTTCCTGAAACCGGTTACTCGGGGGTTTTCGAGGTCGCTAATTACGAATATGACATTCGTTTTCCAAAATTCAAAATGGCGGATCCAATATGGCGGATAACAAAATAAAAAATTGATCAGATTGACTTGAAACGTAGTACTCGGGGGTTTTTGAGGTCGCTGATTACGAATCTGACATCAGTTTTTCAAAATTCAAAATGGCGGATCCAAGATGGCGGAATTTTTTTTTAAATTTGTCGAATTTGCTTGAAACTTGTTACTCGGGGGTTTTAAGGGTCGCTGATTACGAATCTAACATTAGTTTTCCAAAATTCAAAATGGCGGATCCAATATGGCGGACGACAACATAAAAAATTAATTATAATGGCTTGAAACTGAATACTTTGGGGTTTTTAGGGTCGCTGATTATGAATCTGTCATTATTTTTTCAGGGTATTTATCGAAATTTGATTTCACCAAAAATTATCATACTGATGTCAGATTAACCAGTTTCAAACAAAGTCAATAAATTTTAAAAAATTTTCCGCCATATTGAACCAAATATTTTGAATTTTGAAAAACTGACTTCAGATTCGTAATCAGCGACCCTGAAAATCCCCAAGTACTCAGTTTCAAGACAATCTGATCAATTTTTTATTTCGTTGTCCGCCATATTGGATCCGCTATTTTGAATTTCAAAAAACTGATGTCAGATTCGTAATCAGCGACCCCAGAAACCTTAGGGTACCAAGTTTCAAAAAAATCAATTAAAAATTTTTTTAACACACTTTTGGCCCAAAAAGTGGAAATCTCGTTGACAGCCAAGGGGTTAACTCCAATTTGTTTGGTCATGCGATTAAATCAAAGGTATATTATCTAGTTTTAAAAGGCCATAATTGATTTAGCTCTATACCTATTATTTAATTAACTAGAAGCATTTGAGTGACAGCGTGTAAATTTTAACAACTGCACAAAGTGAATGTCGGTTGTTACAATAGCAAGAAAATAATTTTTTATAACAATTTTGATTAATTATTCATAATTTTGGCTCAACGTAATAGTACGTGACAGGTCCATAGAGATGGCAGCATTAATATTGTTTCAAAATGAAAATAGTATATTAAGCAACAAGAGGATAAAGGCACCCATTTCTTTACGGTGATTTTTGTGACACGAGTGGAGGTCGACGGCGCCGTAGGCGCTCCGAGACCTCCACTCGTGTCACAAAAATCATCGTTAAGAAATTGGCTGCCTTTATTCTCGTGTTACTTACGATATTTTTTATTTCTAATGCACAAAAGCAGCGATTTCAGATAGCAGACGTCAGGGAGTAAAAGTAATTTTTTGACTGGACACTGTTAGGTAACTTTGATAATGCTATTAACTTGAATTTTTAATACATAAACATAAAAAAATGTTGCGTGACAAAATTTTCTTCATTTTCTTCCTTCGTTTGTAGAACTACCCATATACTAACTAAACTAACTAAGGAAGTTAGTTAGTAAGTAAGTAAATGAGTTACTTACATTAGTTAGGTTACGTCACCCTCCCTAGGGGTTTCAAGACCTTGCTGTTGGTGGGAGGTTTTGCTTGAGGGCCTTTTACCCAGCGGGAGGCTACTTCTCGATATCTCTCGTGGGGACTGAGGGGACGAACCCTTTAAAATGGGTCGGCCGCTCTAGAAACCGAATCTTAGTAGTGTCTCAGGGTACGGGGATTTAGAGGGATATCAAGAGAGACGGGATGGACAGAGGCTTAACCGCGGGTCCATTCCGAAGATTTCCTGCTGTCGGAGTCTGACTAAGAAGAAACCCTTCCATGGTTTCGTTGGCTTAGCCATGGCGATTGAGGCGTGAGTCTCTGCCACCCAATCTGTGCTAAGGGGCTGTCCATAAATTACGTAAGACGTTTTGGGGAGAGGGGGAGTCAGGAGAATCTTACAAAATCTTACTAGAGAGCGGGGGGGTTATGCAAATCTTACGTAATACGGGCTTTCTTTTCGGTTTGTATACATTTTGAAATGTCGTGAGGCTTCTATAAAAAGACAACAATTAGTCTATCACGTCTATGACGTATAATCTAATCATACGCCATAGACTAACAACATTATTATAGAAGCCTCACGACTTTTAAAAATTTGTCCAGACTGGAATACGAGTCACTGAATCATATACTCCCAACCCTGCAGTGCTTACGATATAAACGACTCGTGATTTATGTACTCAACCTTGCTTTAGTTTATGTCTGTTTACAAGACACGACATATGTCAGCTGACACGTGAGGAAAATTAAACGTGAAGTGGCGCTAAAATTTTAGTTTATTTGAAAAGTAGAAAAAATACTAGCATCTTTGCACCCAATGCTTTTTAAAGCATGGGTAGAAAGATTTCCCGACAAAAATCGAGTTTGTTGTTTTTTCTTCTTATTTGTAATCTTTATTTTCATAAATTCCATTGTAATATTTATTACGTTATCATTATCTATTTTCTATAATTGTATTATTTACTTATATTATTAAAATGATTTATCATTATTATA